TTGTTCGAATCTGCTTACGTGCTGATCTTCCTTCCAATAAGCACTGTTCATGTTAACATTCATTTCATGCATAGTCGTCGAACGGAAGAATATTGACCATTTGCCACAATGGGTGAGAATAGCTCGTATTTCATGAGTGAATTCTCAATATTGATGGCTACATTTTCATTAAAAAGAGTTTTTCTCATAATAAATATATTAAATGCATATTATTCTTTCGACTATTTAGCTTTTGTATATTTAGTACTTAATGTTTTATGCTCTGCATTAAGAGTGTGTACACTTAAGATGTTTATGCAAGACATTTTTCTGATGAAACGAAAAAAAGAATTTCTAATTACCAAGTTGCTTCACTAGTTTACTGTTTTCGTCTTTTTATCATTGTAGTCCATCAAAAGAGAAACATAATCATTAGCATATGTCGTCGTCGTCATATGGTCTCATTTTACTTTTTTTGCCTATCTACATTGGTCAAATGAGTGTTGTTCTTTTAGGTATCCGTATTATTATATCCATATAACAATATGAACTATTATTTTAAAAAAAATAAAGAAACACCATCACAAGAATCTGTTGCCTTAGTTTGTTTAAGTATGATCGATATTTGAGAAGCGTGTAAAATGCAGCATACATTATTGAATATCTTTTTATTCATATACCGAATTAGAGAAGTTTTTCTTTATATCTTTAAAAAAAATGATGGATATAATCTTTATCTTAAGTTGCTGTGTTTTTTTAATAGAGAGTCATAAATTTTCAACTTTTTTTTGGCATGATACACGCATATGATGAAGATATGGTCCAATTGTTTTCAGCTACAATAAAAATGTTGAATAAAATTCTTCGGCAATTATCTAATTTAAAAAATCTAAGTAAAATATTAGTCTCATGTCGACTCATTTTTTAAATTTTAACATCTCTAAAAGCTCAACATTTTATTAAAAATGATGACTATTTTGCTAATAGTTTACATATTTATAAAAACACAGATTTATGTTTATTATATCATATTTATAAAAACTTCTTTTTATCTCTGTTTGTCTCTGTACTGAGGTAGTTTTGGGCGTAATGTGATGAATATGATCGACTATTCTTATGAGAATGATTCAATTTTTGTTATTATGTGGAAAAAAAACCACTTTTTGTTGTTGAATTTCAGAATTATACCATTTTCTATCTTCTGTTAACATTATATCTGATATTTATGTCTCTGTGTGTGTATCTATGGATAATAAGAGGGAAAAAATATAAAAGAAATAAATTGTTTCTTGTTTTTTTTTTTGTTAATTAACTGAAAGTTATAACCAGGTGTCCAAGTTTTAGGTAAAATCTAACCCTTTGTTTTTGAAAACTAAACACCTGCTTATATATTGATTAGTACGTTTTTACTATGGTTGATGAACTTTGTAATGGCAGTATTTTTTGTTTATTATTGTCAATCTTTATGTTTTGCTTTCATCAAACTGTTGACTGTTGTAGGCAAAAGGGTGATGACATTTTGAAAAAGAAAGATTATTGACGATTATCTAAGTCTATATATTTTATTTGTTTTTGTAATATATAGAGGAAAGAAAAAGTCATCGATCATATTTGATCTGAACATACAATCGAATATTGTTTGGGTTTTGTACATACCACGACTTTTAAAGGACAAAAAATTAGTCCATAATAATAAATTGACAACAAAAATAATAAATGATGACGTTTGTAAAATTACATATAGTAGTTTTAGTTTGCTTCTTTCTAATGTCACATGTCAGATGTAATTTTTTTATGGAGTCGGTAATGAGAAGAAGATATGACAATAAACGATAAGAAAAGGTTTATTGTTTTTTTTTTTTTTTGTTTTATGTTACAAAGAATTTATGATACGTGTGTTATGTGTCGTTTTCTTTTTTTTGTCTTACCGAAATCTTTTCAAATTTTCTATTCATATAGACATGAATTTATAAAAAAAAAAGTCGGTAATAGCAATTGTCCTTATTTTCATTTAATGAGATGTGTATCTATGCCAGAATAAAAACATATGTAAACTATTTTTCATGAAATTAACATTGTCATAGTAGTAGATGAAGAAAAAACCTAACACAGCCGTTGTTGTCATTAAATTATTTTTCATATATAAGAGAAAAAACATACGTTCAAGAATAAACATAGAAATGTGTGTCTATTCGATCAATGACTATTGTAAGAAAATTGATCCATTGAAGAGTTCTGTTCACTACTTAAACGAATAGTCATTCGTAGAGAGAATGATTAAAACAGAGTTAAAAAAAAAAATAACATTTCAAACAAATATAAATGATGTAATTGGATGAGAATAAATGATATCGTTTTGTTCAACTTCTATATTTAATAATAGTCATGCATGATTAAATAGATAAAAAAAGCGAAATTTTGAAATTTTTTTTTTTTTTTTTTTATATGTTTGTATTGAAATTTCTAATCATCTCTTATTATCTTAAGTACAATTAAAAGTCGGAGGAACTAATTTGAATAAACATAAAACAATTTTTTTTTCTCAAAATTTGAATATATATATGCGTCAATATGAAGCACTGAGTAAACCTGTTTGTTTCACTTGTGATCGGTATGTGATGTTTATGTATATTTCACATTCTTTTCAATTAGCAAAAATTTTTCTTTTAGCGTCAATTTTTTCGTCTTTCTTTTGTATTTTTTTGTTTTATTTTTGAGAAAACGATCTATATCTATATACACATATATTATAATATTAATAACAATAAATAAATAAATAATAACATTACAATTATACTAGCTAAAGTTTCGTATTATATTTAATAAAACGTACGTATATAACTGTACAATAGTTTATCAGGGTCACAAAAAGAAAACGAACGATGAACGTTGTATCATGTAAGCAATAAAAACATAGACTTTGTATTTTTATATAGAAACATAAAACTATGTCTTGATATTTTTAGACTACTAATTGATTAAGAAGTTAGAAAAATGAGATTTGAATGTTTTCATGTAGTTTTTTGCATCGATATGTATTGTAATTTATCGAGTTTTAGTTCTTGTTGACTAAATAGAACGTCTGTTTTTAGGAAGAATAAAAATGATGTTAAAAAAAAAGAATTAATTTAAAATAAATCAATAAATTTAGTGGCGATTAACGGATATGTAGGATTATACGTATTTTCAAGAGATAAAATCAGTTTCAATCCAACAAGTTTGATTCTAAAAACATTTTTATTATGTTCATAACTATTACATATTTCTTGAAAATAGTGTGAATTCTCTTCTACAATAAGGTTAATATCATGTTGATTTTACAACTCGAATCGTTGTACGAGAAACCGTAAATTTACTTTTGTAATTCAATTCATGTGTTCGACCTCGTATTATTACAAAACTGAATTTGTGTTTTTTTGTCAATTTGACCTCTAGAATACTGTAATGGAATTTATTTTGATTTATGAGTGTTTAATTTAATAGTGAATGAATGAAGAACACTTGCCTAGATTGCATCGCGAATAAATGTTTCGGGAGAAGCTTTTCTCTATGTTGATAATTTCTGATAGGGCGAACTCAGCTCAGTGAGACACCACTCATCCAGTTTACTTGCCAAATAGATCATCGTACACTTGTATAATTTAATTGTTCGATTGATTTTATCTCTTCATCATAGTGTAGTTTCATCTAACATTTCAAAAGTTTAACAAAGCACATATTTTAGCTGTTTGAGTGTATGGGTAAAATCCCGACATTCTCTTACTTGAATGATGGACAAAATCTTCTAGTAATTAATCTACTTAGAAACTTCTTCACTCATCTATTTTGGGTATGTGATTTTTTTTTACTGTAGCTTATCCATTCCGAGGTGTTTTTTTATTGTAATTTCCAATACCATCGATGTCTATTCACTGTTTGACTAATCCACTTATAATATCTATTTATAACATGTTTTTATTGTGAAAACAGGTCTATTTATTTTTTCTTCTAAAGTTGTCTGACCTTGTTGTTTGAATGAGAATAAGAAAAATTATTAAAATTGTATTAATAAATTGAAAAAGTAAAACAAAATTATTGATATTTTTTGTTGTAAAACTGTAATTCATTTATGAAGTCTGTTATGACAATTGTATGACTATGAAAAGAGCTAAAACAATCTAACATATATTTTCTTTTGTTTATAAAATTTCTTTTTGATAATATGTTTAACAGTGAAAAATATAACATATTTATTTTGTTTTCAAAGACATTTTATGACTTTTTCTTTTGTACGATTTATATCATCTTTGATTTTTTTTTAATGATCTTTTCTGCGAAGATTATTCATAACAAGAGGAATGTGAAAACATGTATAAATATTATCATTCCCATACGAAAAAAGCAAGTAGAGCAAAAATGAGACTTATTTATATATGGCATGGGTAATATCTTCATATCCAAAAACAAGAATGCCATCCATCGCAAACTGTAAAAGAACAGAAGAAAGAAGAAGAAAAAAAAATCTTTGGAATGTGTACCATAATATCTTTATAGAGAGAAAAAAGGTCGATTGTTTCTTCTATGTGGTGTTGTGTACATATGAAATATCAAAAATATTTCTCATTTACACGCACGCCTACATTATTTTAACCATTTTTAGCTGCTTTTCCACTCCGAAACATGAAAGAAAGAAAAAAAAAGAGTTCTTTATATATCACCTGTACATCCGTTATTGATAAATAATAATATCATCTGTTTATATACAAAGTGAGAGAAAGACCAAGGTTATATTCTTTATATTTTTATAATAGACTAAGATGTAAGTCACTCGAATTCACATCCAATTTGTTAACATATATCCTAAAAGTCTCATAATAAAATTTTATTTTTTCAAATCATTGATCATACACCGTTGCATATATCAAAATTGACTATTGAATTCGATTGAAGTTGATTGTTCGATGAGAAAAAAAGTCTTGTTGGTTTTACCTCATTCATACGTTATCCTTTTACTCTTTTCAAATAGAAGAATACCTCGTCTCATGGCTAACGTTATTGATGTAGGACACTGCTGAATGACAGTTTCAATAGTCACGGATATCTTCTCTATAGTTGACAAGCGTCTTACATAGTCATACCTTTCGTTATTAGTTATCAAACACAATTCGAGACAGCGGGATAGTCTGATCCAGAATTCTTTCGCCATATACATTTACTAATCACATATTAGCTTTCCGGAAAGCTATGTAAACGAGTAAGAGCATTGTTGTATTGTACATTACAATATAATAGATGATATTATGATCCGAGACACTAAGACATAAATAACTTGCTCAAGGTTATTAAATGACCTGCGAATACTAAAGTTCAAATACAGTACTGTATTCAAAGTATGTGACAAAAAATATAATCATTAAGCCATGTAGTTCTCTTTCCAGATAGATATATATATCATTCGTCTTCATAAAGGCTCATATTTTCATGGTAATTATATTATTTCTTGGAACAGTTTTGTTGTCGAAACAGTAGACAACATATTAAATTCTGATATTGATATGATAATCATTCATCATCAACTATTTTAGAGAAACAGAAGAGTGTAAGTTTATACTTGAAATTATTATGTTTGGTATTTTTCATTCTAATGCGTAGCTATGACAAATAGATGTAAGAAACCTCGAGAGTGAAATTATGATACTAATTATATCTCTAAAAACTGATTATTATAAGTGGTTGACACTTTGCTAAGGTGACCGTCTAGTGAGGTGATATTCTTTTAAAAAGAGGATTTAAAGAGGAGTATCGATTTAATAATATAGATCTTTTAAAACTACTCAAGGAAAATTTGCATAATTTTAGTTCCATTAGAGATCACTTTAACAAGATTTGTTGAGTTATACAATTGTGTGTTGGATAATATTTCATCTTCAACGAATTGCTTTTTTTGTCCTAATATATTGTGATAGAGATCTGAATAGCTTAAAAGCATCTAAAGAGAGATTTAACTCTTTTATTTTCATTAGATTGAACGATTTAAACTTTATACGGTATATAGAATCAATTTTATTTGCCTTGACAAGCACTCACTTTTAAAACACAAATGTAGAAGAGATTAAGAAGATGCTCTCTTCTGTCTTTTTTTTCTTCGCTTGTACATGTAACGAAGAACGAAAAAAAGAAGAGAAAAGAAAAAAAATGGTTTTTCTTTCTCTTTCAGGCTGAATGTAGCGCCCGGGTTGCAATATCGTATCCCAACTTTGATGTTGTTGTTCAATGTTAAAAGCTTGAGGCTATGTTGTTAAAGAGTAGTAATGCTTAACAGCCTCTTGCTTATGGTGTTCATTATTCTTTCAAGATTGGTAGTGAATGATATTAAATTAATTGCATCGGGCGTAAATATTAATAATAACAACAACAATGAACAACAATCATTATTTAACACAGAAAATAAAATTGATAAAAAACCAACAACAACAACAAAAACAAGACAAAATGAGGAGCTGATATTAACAACAACATCAACAATAACATCGACAACAACACAAAAAGAATTAAACGATACGACAACTATTTTAACTTCTTTACTATTGACAATTATGCCACCATCAACATTTTCGTACAATATTCATAATAATGATCAACATCAAGAATTAATTGAATCAATATTAACTGAACAAACAATTATGACTAATAATGAAGAAAAATTGGCTCATTCACAAAGTGAATTATTTGTTATACCCATTATTAGTGATGAAAATGCCAATGATTGTACAGAATGTGATTTAGATTATTGTCTAGAAAATATTCACTATAATAAAAATTGTACAAAATTAATTCGTGATCAATGTAATTGTTGTACCGTTTGTTTGAGATATATCGATGAAACATGTGGAGGAAAATTAAATGTACGTGGTATTTGCGATAATGGACTCAATTGTGAAAATATTAATGTGAATAATAATAAACGATCAACGGAACAAATTGGAAAATGTGTTAAAAGTATGTATTCGATTATTTTATAAAGTTATACCTTCAGACAAAAAAATGGGTGCGGAACTTTTGCCGGAATCAGAAAAACGCCCTTATAATTCAGTCATTTCAAAAGCTAAAATTTTACTTAATCATACGTTTTAATGAAGGTACTTGTAGCTTCGATTTAAAATGTTCCGCAACTTTGAGTAACCATCCGTCTCGGAGAAAAAGTACACTGGACCAAAAGTCTACCTGGACAAATCTGATCATGTAGGCTTTTTTTCCGAGACGGATGGTCGCTCAAAGTTGTGAAACGTTTTAAATCGAAGCTACAAGTGCCTTTGTTGGAACGTATGATTAAGACAAACTTTAGCTTTTGAAATGGCTAAATTATAGGAGGTCCCAGTAAAAGTCTCGTGCTCATCTCTACTTCAAACGAGATAATTTTTGACATAGTATAGCAATTAATATATTTATTATGAATAAAACGTGATTAGTATGAGTGCAGAAAATAGTTCAAATACGAATGAGATGTATTATTTAATCGATGGCAAATACAATAAAATAGAAAATGTGATTTATTATATATCTAATTCAAAAGTTTGGTAGATCTTATATCGATATTAATCATAAGGTATAACGTTGAGCATACGTCCATTTAATTTTTTTTAATAATCATTCTTCCTTATTTTTCGTTGATTATCATTGTGAGATCTAGAAAAAACGTTTTCGATGAATGAGAATTTTTAGAAAATTGTTGATTATGAAGGATATTTTTTTTTTAACGAGAATTGTTAGAAAAAACAGGTTAACTCATTTTAAGCCACTGATAGATTACATGTTCAATTGCCTGTTTATTTTAATGATGGCTTTATAAACAAAATTGACTATTCGATTGAGTATATTATATATAGAAGAAGAACGTATCTGTACGTTTAGTATGCATGCTTCGTACGCTATCGAGTCTGCTCATATATTATTTAATGTATATGTCTATGTGAATGAATAAATAACTTTTCATAATTAGTCACAAATATTTATATTTGATTGAAATACTAATTAAATATAATTTTTTCTAAAATGTCATAGGAGTAAAGCTCAATGAAAAGTCATCGTTTGTTTTTCGAAGGTTACTTATCGTTTATTCTGATGAAGATAGATAATTGTGTGTTAGATTTTGACAGATTATCAATATATCTCTATAATACATATTAATATCTTGTCAACAGAATTTTTAGCATATCACTTTCAATAATCAATCAATAGAAAACAGAAGAAGACAAAAAGAGTTGTGTATTATATTAAGAAAGTTCGATATATACAGCGTTAATTAAAACAAGACAAAAACGATAGTTTATAATGACATTTACATTCGTTTACAATTAGACATACACAAGTTCTATGATTTTTCCTATCTAGTAGACGATATATATTAATGAGGGTTAAAAGTCAGTCCTTGCGGGGGAGAATGAGACGACTTATACTGCTTAATTAAATGCTTTTTCTAAATTATAATTTTTTCTCATAACTGAGGTATAAAGATTACAACATGTCTTTTAGTAGGATCATGGTTTTAGTGCATTTTGGAATCTGTTAAAAACAGTATAACTTTTTTCACCTAGATATGTTACCATTATTGACCATAAAAATATTATCTAACAATCTGAGTATCAAATTGGATAGCTTCTAATGTTATAGACTCTTCATCAATAATAAAAATATATTGCTGAGAATTTTTGTTAGGAAAAAACATGACAATTAGTATTACACTACTCTTCTGTCTTTTTGCTAAAAAAAAATCTCATTTTTTTTATTCATATATATCTTGAACTATCATAATTAGTCACATATTGGAAACATTTTCAGTAGAATCACATACCACTAGAGAGAAAGAGAGAAAAAGTCAATATTTATACTAAAATTTAGCAATGAAAAGAGACGATGAAACCTTTGTCTCTAAGGATGAAAGACATACGTCGAACATTGATTAATATTGAAATGATTCTTTTCTAAATTAAGATTATCTCATTGTGATTTTTCTTTTGTTTTAAGATGGAAAGTTTAAAATGATACATTTTGTGTTCATTAATAACAAGTTTTTTGTACAGAATCGTCCTTTTTGCTTAATGTTATCATTATTTGATGCTGAAAGGAAGAAGTCTTATTGAATGTCATCAATGTCTGTTATTGTGTCTTATCATCATAAATATATTTTGTCTCGACAAACAAAATACTTTCGGTTAGGCGGAAATAAAAGAGAAAGGAAAACATGACCTTCATATGTGAAAACTCGTGCCGTCAGAAAATTGATATTAATCCCTGTTGAGTGAATACAAATCTTTCGTTTGGCGTAATATGAGAGTTTAAAAATAAATACTAGTAATAATCAAGGTGCTATTTTCAGTATAAAAAAAAGAAATTCTTTGAAACAATATACGAGAGAGAACTTCTAAATATTACTAACCTTGCTAGAACCATAAAAAAAACAACAAGTTTCTGTTTTTTATTTGATATCTTTTTTTTTTAAAGTAAAGGGATAAGTGTCTCTTGTCATTGAACAAATGCCTCAAAAAACAGCTGATTGAATGAAGAAGAAGAAGAAGAAGAAGAAAAAAATGTTTATGATAGATTTCACATCTCAAATTTTTCTAGTTAAAAGTAATAATCTCAGAGGAGTTGACAAATGAGAATATACAACAAATTTAATTATAAATACAGTATCGACGAGTGCAAATCTATCATTCTATGAAAAATTCTGACAGATAACAAATGAGTATAGAAAACGTATTCGATAACATTAAATCTGATTGTCGGAAAAATTGATGACCTTAAAGATGAAAATAAAAGTCTACAAATCTATTGATTCATTTTATATTGAACGTATATTTTGTTTTAGTTTAGTTTTTTTAGCAAATTTTAGACTTAAATCTCAGCTTTCATTAATGTGTACGTGTACACTTTGAAGAGTAACAGTATGATCAATCTGAGTGGAAAAAGAAAATCGAATACGACTCAAAAATAGAGATTCAAAATTGATATTTTAGTCACTTAAAACGTTTTCTATTGTTAACAGATTTATTTCTCTTATGTTACTGGAAAAGATTTTTTATTGTAGTCCTCATCATTCTGTTACAAACTATAGCGATCTCTTAATCGAAAATAATTTAGAATTTTGATTAATTGTTTCTCCGAAAAGTCTACGAGGAGTATAACACTGATCGAAATGATGCGACAAACATGAATTTTATCGTATGATAAAATTTCTATCATCTGTCATTCAAAAATGAATTCTCACAGTAGATACACGTATCGATTATTTGTCTTTATGAAATGTAACTTACGTGTGTAATATTAAATTTGTTTCTTTTTTTAAAAAACTTATGTGTTAATAAAATTATATTGTGAATACTTATCTTTTATTGTATAAAAATAGAGCTAATTTTATCAATTATTTTCTTTTTTATCACTATGAGTACTATCTTCTGTGAAATAATTAGTAACAAGAGAAGAAAAGATTTGTTAAGTTTCTGTTTCAAAGCTAATTAGCTGATTATATATCATTGTATAGAAAATGAATAAACACAAATGAGAATACCTATAATTGTACATTTATATCAAATTAGATTTTATGATAGCGTCAACTATGTCTTCATATTTCTGTTTTAGACATTGCGCTTTGTTTTAAAATTTAAAAATGCGAAAAACTTCAGTCATTCTCTACTACTGTCTTTGGAAAATCACTGTGAGTTTTGTATTGACTTGCTCGTAAGCAGTTTGTGGAATATACGCTACAGAGAGATATAACTGTTCGAACATTCGATTTGAATTTTTTCTAAAAATGACACTTTTTAAATTTTTTTTTTACTTTATTTTTAAACATAAAAAAAGTATTGAGGAAAGAACAGAAAAAAATGGATAATATATTTGGAAAAAACATATTCTACCCACTTTTTGATAGTGAAAGTTGAAAAACAAAATCTCGAAATAGCAACACTGATTAAAAATTTTTTTACAAAGGCGCTTGTAAACATCTTTACTCAAGCGAAATGGCTTGATCATTCGCCGTTACCAGTTAGAACTCTACATGTATATCTTTTGAAATGAGAGAGAAAGAGAGAGAGAGGGAAAAGTGACGACAGTATTTTCTAGAAGAATAAAATGTTAAATGAACATTGTCTGCATTTTTAATTATACAACAACAACAAAAGTTCAATCATATTTCCGTTTATGAATGGAGTATGCATTTCGCCCTTATTATGCAATCGAATATCTGTATGATGATAATACCAATGAATGTAAACAAAATATAAAAGAAAAACAGACAGATCACTTGGGAATGTTTAATATTTATATAGAATCTGAAGAATAAATCATTTGATTTCTGGTCATAGAATTAATTTAAAATAGAGAATAGTTGTTTTTATTGCAAATGTCATACTGAATAAACACAGTATTGAAGAGTTTTTTCATAAGAAATAAAACTATTAATTAGTAGATCAAGTAAAAAATAATAATTATTAACTAAACGATTGATCAAGACGCTTGAATTTATATGATTCATAATATCTACAAGAATACATTACAGTTAAATCTCTAAATTCCAATACATTGTTTTATGTGTTTATTTTAGGTATTGATTGTTCAAATGTAGATTGTGGAAATTTAACAGTAGCAACATTGAATATATGTCCATCTGATAGTTATCTTGTTACAAATTTATCAACATCCACAAATAATTCAACATGTTGCTCTTTGCCTGGTCATTGTCAATGTTCCCCATGTGCACGAACAATATGTGGTGAAGGTTCAAATATACAAATATTTCGAACTGGAACAAAATTACCAGGAAATTGTTGTGATCAATTTCATTGTATAAAGAGTAAGTAAACATTATGTTTATTTCTAGGATTATCTAAATTGTTGTTGTTGTTGATTTTCTTTTTTTTAGATACAAAAACATGTCATCATAATAAAAAGATATATCAAGAAAATGAGACATGGACTATTGATCATTGTACGACATGTAAATGTCGTGGTGGTCTTGTCGATTGTAATATGGTACAATGTCCAGCAAATCCACATTGTGGATATATGTACAAACCAGAAACAGAATGTTGTCCAAAATGTGCTGGTATATTAATTATTTTTTTTCTCTATAATATTTTTTTTCGATATTTGAATAAAAATTATTTTTATTTTATCTAGGTTGTTTAAGTGATACATTACATATTCAAGAAATTAATTCAACATGGATTGAATCAAATGGTTGTATAAAATGTTTTTGTGAAAATGGTTGGTCTCGATGTTTTGTTGAAGGTTGTATAGCACCACCTTGTGAAAATCCACGACAAATAGCCAATGTTTGTTGTCCTATATGTGATGATCCACCCGAATATCATCGTTTAATTGATCAAGTACATCATAAAAATCCACATAAATGTCCGCTATTAACAGCCGATTGTAAATTAGAATGTGAACATGGTTTATCGAAAGATGAACGTGGATGTTTGACATGTCAATGTTTAATGATGACTTGTCCATCATTTTGTATTCTAAAATATAAAACACAACATCAACAATATTGTCAATGTAATCCAACATCACCTTTCTCACTCGTACAACATTCACCACTCTATAATTGTACAAAATTTAATTGTGATAAAAATTGTCCATATAATTATAGTGTTAATCAACAAACAGGCTGTCCCTATTGTGAATGTAATCCATGTCCCATCTTATCGTGTACAAAAAATTGTACTTACGGATTAAGAAAGAATGAAGTTGGATGTCCCATTTGTGTCTGTGAAAGCAGTATGTCATTTTTATATGATATTTCGAACAGATTTATCTAAAGTGTTATATCATTTTTCTAGATTCAAAAGACGATTTGAATAATGCACTTTTAAATGGAAATGGTGATATTGATTGGCCACGACAGTGTCAATCCGGCCAATATTCTTATTCAAATGGTGAAATATGGTTTGATGGATGTCGACAATGTCTCTGTCATAAAGGAGAACACTATTGTGCACTTATCTCATGTCCAGTACCAAAATGTTTAAATCCAATATTATTACCTAACAGATGTTGTCCATCGTGTCCAGGTAAACTTCTTTTAATGTAGAAAATAATATTTAGTAATTTTTAATCTAAATATCTACTTATTCTAGGCTCTCAAAATTATATTGAACCAGCTACAAGTCAAGTATGTTATCAAGGTGTTAATTCAGCTTATGTTAGCGGTGAAGAATTAGAATTTGATAAATGTACAAAATGTGTGTGTCTCAATGGAGTCGCATTTTGTAGTGTTGCATTTTGTCCACCATTACGTTGTTCAAATCCAATATATAATTCAAGTTTATGTTGTCCAGTGTGTCCACCATCTTCATCGGCAAAATATCTTATACCGTATGATGTAAATATAAGTGGACCAAGTGAAATATGTTTACTAGATAATGGTTTAGAAAAAAATGAAGGTGAACTATGGAAACCGAATGATTGTGAATCATGTATATGTTATCGTGGTAAAGTTGAATGTTTTTCACAAACATGTCCCGTATTGTTAACATGTCCAAATCCAGTATTAAAAAAGGGACAATGTTGCCCCTATTGTATACAACAAAAAAAAATGTCTGTATGCGTATTTAATTATATACAATATAGATCAGGTGAACATTGGAATGTAAGTAAATTATTAATTATAAAGTACATTTTATCTAATAAATATATAAAATTATTCTAGGTAAGTGATTGTCATCGTTGTGAATGTTCATTTGGCACCATTGTTTGTCATCAACATAAATGTCCAGCACATACATGTGTCTATACAGTTACATTACCAGGAAATTGTTGTCCAATATGTCGTGATCAGTTACCATCCTATGGACAACAACAAAAAAGTATGTCATCAGATTAGTATTATAACATTCTCGTATATATTTTCTTAACAGACATAGTGTAATACTATTGTACGTTTAAATATAATGTTTATTAATTTTTTTGTTTAGTTCCAGTTACGAATTCTTCAATTGAAATCACCATAATACTTGGCGTATTTGCTGCATTAATTATCATCCTTGTTGTTATTGTCACTATATTAATCATAATTATTCTTCGACGTAACACTCCCACATCTTCAAATGATAATCATCATGCACATGTAAATGGTGTTGTAGGAAATGGTATATATGGTGGAAGTGGTAATATTCGTGAACATATTTCCACAACACATACAGCCAGTTCTAATATATCCAAAGGATCATCAAATGATACTTACTCTTATGTAAAGTATGATTTAATTTCAAAACAAACTTTGACAACTTCAAATCAATTATTAATGGATCATGATTCCCATCATCAACAACCAATTACTGATTCATCAATATCGGGTCAATTGACAGAAACAGAACCACTGACCGAAGGTATATGTGGTGAAAATGAAGAAGATCTTCAAGAACAATGTTTTATTGAACGATCATCGTATAGTCGAAGTGATGATCAAGATGATAATGATTCAAATGATCAACAACAAACATTGGGAGCACCAACCATTATTTATATATGAAATAAACTTTTTATCCCTTTTCCTACATAAATGTAAAAAATATTGAGGGAAGTTGGTAGTATGTGCAAGAATTTAATCTCAGGTTGGCGTAATTGTCTCTCGTTCTTTTTTTCTCTCGACTACTCGTTTATGTATAGAATCTATAAGAAGCTTTTCAGATAGTCACATAGACAAAAAAACAGTGTTCTCTTTTTTCTTCTCGTTTGCATGCATACTCTTCTTCTTCTTTTTTTGTATATTGTTATTTTTTAAGTGGAAAAAAGATATAGCGTTGTATGGTTTCGTTTTTCTATTTTGTTAATATTATTATCATTATTATTACTATTCGCTTATGATGGGTACTCGTCTGTGTTTTTTTTTTCAAAGTTTATAAATAAAATACAGAGAATTCTACTACTATTGCTGTTCTCTTGTCCTAATAAAACAAAGAAAATGAGAATCAAGATAAACAATTTTTTTATGTATTTAAACTTAATTTATATAAATAGAGATGTATACATATGTATAAACTTTGAGTTTACTTTAAAACTGTAATTCATATGATAGCACCTTTCTACTCTTGGACAAAGATTTTAACTAAAAATTTATCAAGCCATTGATACAATATTAAAATTTGGATATCAATTTTTTTGATTACCAAATTTTTCAACATGATATATATTCATTGAAATATTAACCAAATGAACAATATTTTCACAATTTTATTTATATTTTTATATTTATTATTTATTATTATTTATTTTTTCACAATTTTATTTTTATTATTTAAAGCTGTGCTGACTTTCTTGATAGGCCCTTTTGCTTTTCATTTGCCTAATGGTTGAATACGTGTTTTATCGTTAACTTGATACAAGTTAAATTGCTAATCCAACAGAATATTTATACGAATATACTTTCATGCCAATTGGACAGCTACATGATTCTAATGGTACAACAAAGCCAACAGGATTGTTGCCACGCCAGAAAATTATTGGATGTAAGCCACTGACAAGAACGATAAATATCTAGCCAATGATACGTTCAATGATTTTTCTAGTGTATTTAACCATTAGGTAAATGAAAAGCAAAAGGGCCTCCCAAGAAAGTTAGCACAACTTTAAATTTGCAAATATATATAAATAAACCTGTGAAAGTATTGTTCATTTGGTTAATATTCCAATGAATATGTTTGTGTTATACATTATACTTTGTTGAGAAATAAAAATGTAAGATCATGCTGAAAAATTTGGTGATCAAAAAGTACATTTACTCTTAAAATTTTCTTTCTTTTCACAAAATAAAACTATTTCTAAAGTTAGAAATTTATTTGATATTTGCCTATTTTTCATTTTGCGAGTTAACTCTCATTTAAAAATAGGTTGGTCCTAGCTTTGAATGATAATGTATAAGATATTTTTAGATTTAAATGTATTAACGTTACTAATAGAAAATATGTTCATATCAATTTTTGAAAAAGAAATTCTTATAAATGCATTCATTATTTTTCTCTATACAAACGTAAAAATAGTTGAAATCATATATGTTCACGCGCTAGATCGAGTTATAGCAGAAAAACGTTTTACACATCTACATTTCGTTGTTCAAATTTCTGTACTATTTTTATGAAAATTTCCTTAGGTATAGTTGATTTATACACAATTGCTCCATATATCAACAATTTTGTGCAAAATACAAACACAATAAATAATGATTTACATTCGAACTGGAGAAATATCGATTTTTTGCAACACCAATGTGTCGAGCTCTTTTTTTTCTGATATTGGTACTGAAGTTATTTTTTATCAGTCAAATTTGTCTCACTAGTTCGCTAAAAAAGAAATTTAGTAGAGACTGAACATGCTGTATTTTATAGAGAAAATATTTTTCTAATCCAAAATACTTTGAGTGAAAAATCAATAACGTTCGAAGTACTGATTAAAATGCTGTTTATTCTTGCACTCTATTATTTTGGGCTCTGGTATCCATTATACACTTCAAAACATTATCATACGTTAGAAATTTTAATATTTTGAATTTTACCGTTATAGAATCATTTACCAGAGCCTTTTTTCCTTTCTTATTTTTAAACTTTTTTAGGTAATAGTTTAAAGGAATAACAGACATGACACTGTAACGATTGAGAAAATTCCGCTTTATCGAATCCAATCATCCACCTTTTTAAGATCAATTTTAAATTTAAGGTCAAATTTAAAGTTTATTTTTTTTGTGTAAGGAGGTGAGATTCTTCTTGATTTTTTGTAAAAACTTCAGAAAAAGGCTTTTATTTCTCGATTTTGCTTATTATTATTAGTTATAGTTTTATAAATAATATTTATAAAACTATAACTAATAATAATAAGCAAAATTGCATGCATTTCGTTTTGCCATCAGTTTTCAACTCATCTGTTTGACCCTATTAATGACTGGTTTTACTTCTGTCTTTTGTGAAATTTTTGTCTATGAAAAACACGAAAAAATTGTTCAGTCGCAACTTTCTCATGAAAATGATTAAAAAAACTAATCTGAAATCTTAAAAGACAGTTCGTTTTTGTTTTCAAGGGAGATACATAGTTCGCAAAACCGAAGTGTAGACAATAAGAGAAATAAATAGGCAAAAATGAGAAACAAAAAAACACGTTTGTTGTCTGAAAATGCTCGTAAATTATTATTTCGAGAAAAACGGCCAAGCTATAAATATTGAAATATTGAAATTTAAAAATATGATAATATCATAGGGCAAATTTTTAAACACAGTTAAACATTAAGCTTAATAAAAAACACTCTAGAGAGAAGGAGCGTATTAGGTGCTAAGTCATGAACATCACTATTTAACAGAGGAGTTTTAAATATGGATTAATAAATAGATGAATAAAACTATCAATTCAAATAAAAAACTTAACTTGAAAGTAGGTTGCCATAAGAGGTGGGCAGGTCCGACCATTTCCAAGTCCAAGTCAAGTGCAAATTCGAATCGAAGTTCTTCATGTTTCTGCACTATACAGTACTTCACAATCATATATGATGGATAAATAAATTTTATCCATATATGGGTGAAACATGCATCAGTATACACTGATGCATGTTTCACAAAAAAAAATTAACAAATTAGGTATCAGATTATACTCAGTCCGCCGTTGAATGTAAAAGATTCTAACTCCTTGGACTTCAAACGGACTCTGATAAAAAAATCCCCAAGTCCAAGTCAAGTCTAAGTCCGCTGAGCCCCAAGTCCATCAAAAAAATCTTCAGGTCCGGACTTGGACTTGTCCACCTCTGGTGTCATGTGTTCTCCATTAGCTAGCTGATCTTGAAAAAGACATCAAACCACTCACAGTAAAGTTGATAAGGCGAAAAAGCAACGTGAACATTGCGCGTGTGTCGTTATGTCACGCACCAGAGTCGTGCCATAAGGGAGAAGATCATAGTTAAGGTTATTGCATCAGCCTTAGTCAACGAGATAGAACAGTTCTAGGATGATGCAAGAATCTAGAATACGACGTAGCGTCACAGTATTGCATAATCAGGCCATGACGCTTCTTGTCTTAAGATTGTGCGACGGCTTAGTATATATATGTGCCTTTTTTGTGTAATAGTGTGTGCTATCTTTGTATAAAGTTTTCTCAAATAAACGTTAGGTAAGAGAGAGTTTAGTTCACCCGGAAACCTAACAGTCGTGTAGGAGAGAATTCGTACGTATGCATTGTATGTTAAGTTAAATTTGACT